ATGTATTGATATGAATTAAAATGCAGCTTTACTCATATGGCAGACAAAAAAGTTGAGTTGAAATTGCAATTCCTACTAGGATTTCTTTTTTGAGTATTTGGACTCATAAAATTTCCACTCGAACCCGTTTCTATTGGCGCCAATACATAGGGGTATCACATCATTTGTAAATTATTTTAAAGAGTAACGACATTTTCCACCCAAGGTTTGGCGAGTCTGCAAGTTCCCACCTAGTTTTATAAATTGCAAATCCCACCTTTAATTCCCAACGTTACTTTTCTCTCAAGATAACCCCCACATCTCAAATTTCTCTCAAATAACCCCCAAAGGAGTCCCGGCCAGACAAAAAATCGGCTGATTTTGACGCCATTAGACCTTCCCGCACTACCATCAGCATCCCCTATCCTCTCACCAAAACCTTTAACTTTTTCACTTGATGGAAAAAATGGCTGAAAAGGCGCAACAAAACGCAAAAACCTAAGGGACAGGTGGCGGCGATTATTGGGCAATTGTGATCTTCGATGTTGGGGGTTTTGGTGGGGGGAAGTCGGTGATGCTATAGGTGGTGTTCGAGGTTGTTTCCGGTGCTAGGACTTGCCAGAATTTGGATGAAACACCGATTGAAACTAAGAGCGGTGACCGGTGATTGGGGATTCAATCAGGCGGGGAGGTTAGGGGTTTTGATGTGAGGGTTGAAGGGATTGTAATGGTGGTGTCGAGAGGGGTCGACTACGCCGGAAACAGGTCGGAATGGCTTGAAATCGTCGATGGTATGAATTTGAGAAATGAAGGGTTATTTTGAAATTTTTCATCTTTGAAATTACCATTTTACCCTTTTAATTGTTAAATTAAACAGTTTTATGTTAATTTAAGGGTGGGAATCTGCAATTTATGAAACTAGGGGTGGGAACGTTGGGTGGGAAAATGTCGTTTACTCTATTTAAAAAAATCAAACCTAGCTAATTATTTTTCTTTCCTATGAAGCTTTCTTAATTATTATCATATATGCATACATACCTTTATAAAATGTAGACAAAAATATAAATAGCAGTGAAATATGTTCTTACAGGGCCATCTATAACTAATATCTTTACGGGTAAGCGATATGTACCCACCCAAAGTTTGGTGAATCTATGTGCCCACCCATGGTTTTATAAAGTCCAGATTCACACCCTTAAATTAATACTGTTAGCCTTTTTTTGGGTTCTAATACCGTATTGAGAGTGCTATTACAAAAATGCCCTTGAACTTTTTAGGCCATGAATAACCCAACATCCTTACAGGTTTGAAATTTGACAAGCGCACCCCTACAACAGAAAACCTTAGATCCGCTGCAAACGGAATTCCTCCACCACAAGCGGCTAAAAGCCGCCACAAGGCACCATAGATCCATCCTAAACCACATCAAAGAAACCCACAAACTTGGTAGCAGGATGTACAACTCCCCAATAGTGCATGAGATATGTGCGATCAAGGTTGGCGGCAAAGTCACTGGTGTTGCTGGCTGGCTTGAGACTTAATGAGGTGATACCACTAGGTAGCAACAAACAAGAATGGGTTGCGCGACTATGGGGGAGGGCAGGGCCGGCTTAAGGGGTAGGTAGGTGAGGCACCTGCCTAGGGCCCCCCAAAAATGGGGGCCCAAATTTTTTATAATTTTTTTTTTTTTTGAATATCTTACAAAAATGAAAATGGTTTATAATTTCTTATCTAAGCCAAGGGGCCCCTAAAAAAAAATCCAAAAAAGCCCAATTTATTATAAACTTTTTACATATATTCCCACCCAAAGTTTGACAAAATAGTAAGTTTGCATCTCTAGTTTCGTATATTCCAATTTACATCCCTAAATTAACATATTGAATCTCTTTTAACAATGAAAGGCTAAAATAGTCATTTACATATCTCAAATTACTCACCTCTAATTCAATCCCAAAATTCGATATTTACATAAATCATCTCCAACCCTCTTCTACCGCCAGTGGTTTGGAGTTGATTTCGGTCGATTTTCTCACCAAAATCGACCGAAATCATCATCTTATCATTTCCCAACTGTTTTCCCAACCTTGATAGCCCTCGATTTGGCCAATTTTTGATGACTCTCGCAACCCAACTCCACCGCGCGCGACAACCATTTCTGGCCTTTTCGGCATGTACCCGACATTGTTGGCCTTCCCTGACACCACCATCTTCCTCTCCTTAGCCCTCTCACCAAAACCCCTATCATACCTCATTCGTTTACTCTGCCAATCACCGACCACTGATACCTTTTGGGCCGTGACTTCTCAAGTTTTTTCTTGTCAATCTTGGCATTGGAAATCACCCATTTCACCACCCATCACTTCTCCAACATCTACTCTCCAAAACCCCCCACCAACCTAACCCTGTTAGCCTGCCGATTGCTGTCTACCTTTCCTAGTAATTTTGCATCTCAAAAGGCCAAAAAAAAAAAAAAAAAAAAAAAATTGAAATAATTTTTTTAATATATGCTTATATTATTAGAAGACCCCAAAGTAATTTTTGCCTAGGGTCATGAATGTTCTAGAGACGATCCTGGGGGCGGGTCGACAATGACGCAGGAAGAGGTTGTTCGAGCAAGCAACAGATTGACGCGATGAGCAGCATGACGCAATCTCAACTGGACAGGTCAGTTGGTGACGCTTCTTTTTGTGGCTAAGCAAACGGGAAAGGATAGGCAGCTCACCATTTAGAGAAAGGGTGCTTGTGAAAGAAATTTGAGATGTGGAGGGTTTTTTTGAAATTTTATTTTCATTTCAAATTTTATGTAGTTCAAATGACCATTTTACCTTTTCACCGTTTATTTAAATAATTTTTTATTAATTTAAGGATGGAAATATAGAACTTATGAAACCACGGGTAGGAACTTGCAAACCTAGGGTGGGTACATGTCTTTTACTCTATCTTTAATTTCCACCTTTCATTTATGGCTAGAACAAAGAAATGCGTATATATATATATTTTTTATTATCTTCTATTTATTAACACTTCTCTGTAAATTGTAATGATCGATCAATCCCATCTCTGGGTATGCAGATGGTGAAAACGATTAAGGAAGACAGAGAAGAAAGCAACCATTATTTCCTTCTTTTTTTTTTTTTTTTTTTTTTTTTTTTTTGGTAAAAGGTAATTTTATAAAAAGAAACGATTAAGGAAGACAGAGAAGAGAGCAACCATTATTGCCTTTTTTTTTGGGTAAGAGGTAATTTTATAAAAAGAATAATGAATAATGGGTAAGAGGCAACCATTATTACCTTTTATTACACATCTATTTTAAAACAGTGCAGTGAGTCTATGATATTGTGTTGAGAATCCTTAAAGAAAACGCTATAGCTTTCACGATGAAGTGGTTCATACATATCCGCAAACAACTGCATGCGTATATGTCACTATGCCAAAACTTCATTTTTCCTTAATCTCTAAGATTACCCAGGAAAGTATAAAACGAAAATGATGGTCCACGAGCGGCTACAGCTTTCTTCACGCGTAGGATTACCATTCATATGGACAATATGTGATTTCGTTTTTCAATTTTAACCTAAACCTTATCGTTGATTAGTCTTTCAAAGTTCACTTTCAAAAAGACATCAATTATGGAAGTTAGTAATAGGAGATTTTCTACAGATGAGATTCCACGTGTGTGCCTGACTCTTCTCTTTTGTTTTATGGTCCAAGATTCTTCATAGACTTTAATAAGAGAAAATAAGCAGAGCTGCAGGCCAAAACAACAGTCTAATTAATCAGTGGCAAAATTACAAACGAGTCAATTTTTAGATGTTACTTTTGATTAACACGTACAATAACATGCTTGTCAAGAAAAAAACAGTTAAAAATATCCTGCTGAATGAAAAGGTTTATATGGACCATATCATCTAATTTTGAGTCCTATTAGTTGACTTTCTAGAATTTTAACTTGTGAAGTAAGCATGAGGGCATGGAATGATGTAATGTATAATGAAACCAAAATCCATTATAGAGGTTCTGGTTCCAAATTTTTCTTGCTTTAATTTTCTTATAAAAGTACACTTTCATTTATTTCTTGTTATTGTACATATGATTATTCCTGAAAATAAATAAAGAAAAAACTCAAGAAAATAAAATAAAAAAATAATTTTCAAAGATATTTTAGACGAAATCAAGAAGATAATGCTTTTTTTTGCTAATACGGATAGTCACTAGAACTTTTACTCGGCCAACAGTTCTAAGATTTCGAGAGATTAATTAGGGTGTGCCTAAGTTAATCCAGACACCCTCGGTCAAAAAAAAAAAAAATGCTTTTTTTTTTTTTTTTTTTTTTTTTACGTTTCAATTATTAGTTTGGATGGTCAAGTTTTTTTTCATTCAACTATCAAATATATCTTCTTAATATGCATCTAAAAAATTTAGCATCATTTTTTTTTTTCCACTTTATCGCGCAAGTTTCCTCTTCTTGACGTTAAGCCGAACCAAAAAAAAAAAGCCTTGCCGAGCCGGGTCCATATATCCAATATTACACGTGCACGATATAAAATCTACAAGTGTTTGGTCATTCAGTCAAACGCGATGGCTAAAATTATGAAAGTGTGAATGAGAGTTTGAAAAGGCATCAAAATTCTACAAGTATTTAAAGTTTTAATTTTTTTTTTTTTCTTGAATATGAAAAAGATTTCCAACAAATATAGCACTTTAATAGGTCGACGTTGCCATTCAATTTATGATTTCAATAATTAATGTCCAAACTATCTCCACCTACAGCCTTCGGGCTTATCTAGAAGGTAGATCCATTATAATCTAAACATTCTTTTCATCTCCTGCTTCCAAATTTTTTTATGATAATACAGTTAGAAAATTTAAGAATTCAAATTAATTACAATGCAGTTTATTCTTGACATAATAAAGCTAGATGGTGCGTACAAATCAAACTATATAGCTAGTTGCTAGTCTTCCTGATAAGTTTAGCATTATACGCTGCAATCCAAAATTCAATGATTTTGATCTCTTTCTCTCTCTGTGCAATCAACCAATCCGGATCAGTTGAATTAGGAGTAAGTATGTCCAAGCAGTGGGCTCCTAATACCAGAGAAATTCGTAGTCAAAATATTGAACAAACGATGAAAAGGAAATTTTTTACACTTTTAAATTTATACCTTCATTTGTATGTACAGCTACAACAGTATCAGATATGTCCTCCAAAACCCTGCAGTTTAAGTAAAGATAAATTAGTTTCATGTAATAGAATGAACAATATTATGAGCTGAGCAGAAGGGTTGAGATTCTTTTTCTTCTTTACCCTCCAGAACTATATGGGTCTCGGAATCCATTGGAAAATATTTCATGTACCTTCTTTGACTCGGAGGTTTCCATAAATCTGCACAGACCCAATTAGTTTTAAAATTAAGCATTCTACCCCCTACAATTTTTTACCATTAGTCTCAATCTTGAAATGAAAACGTTAACCACCAAATTGACAAAATTGTCCCCACTCTTAAGATTAATGCTACATCCTAAATATGATTGGCGGTTACAATGCCACCTCCCATAAAGTTATGTCAGTTTTACATATGTTCCTTTTCTTTGATTTTACAAATAATCTTATTGGTGGTACTATATGGACCAAAAACCATATTAGGTCTAACGAGGTCCAATAATGAAATAAATATATTAGGCCTAGTACCTTAACCCAATTCTAGTTGGACCTATGCTTAAATCCACCTTATGGATTGACCACTTCATGAGGTAAGCCTTCCTACATGTTAAGCTAAATCGTACTTTAGCCCATTAGCCTACATTCGTCCCACAATAGGAATCAGAATCCTATTTACTTTCTACTTCAATCAAGATCCAAGATCTTACTCGAATTGGTAGTCCTAATCTAAAGAAGGCAAGTCACACGACTTCTTTCCGAATACGAACTCCTTTACCAACTAAGACTCAAAGTTCTACTAGCTAGGACTCAAGCTCCCTTGAACTCCTATATAAACAGAGGTCAAATGCAAGGAGAAATCAATCACCCATAGCTTTAGCTCCTAAATTTTTGCTCCCAAGAATCTTCATTTTCCCGCCGTAAACTTAGTTCCGATTAACTTTACCACCTTTAGTCACCGCAAAGCCACTTTACCACTTTCAGCCACTGCAAAGCTGTGCTCCGGCCACTTTGTGTTAGTCTAGCCCTAGCCACATTATGGTAAACCCTTTTCTTGCTCTCAACCTCACTAAAATACCTTTAATCGTGTCGACTTGAGCGTCGGAGTGCCTACGGCAGACATCACACTAGTGTCACCTGAGCTTTCACGTTCGTTCTCTCTTATTGTGCAGGTCCATTTGATTGTCAATAACTCACTTCTCACAAGATCCGTCACTTTCAAATCAACTGTAGATTTTACCTTCTATAGGTACTAAACTGAAAAATTACTCGTTATATAAATCGTGATATATCTAACTGAAATAATTTTTAAATAAAATATTAACTATTTAGTAAAATAAATTATTTGGTTTAAAATTGTCTTAAGTCGAGGTGAGACATGCAAAAACCTTGGTTATTATAAGGGATTAGTGATTGGAATATTAGTTATTGACAATGACTAGATTGATGGATAGTTCAATAATTTCCAATTCTAATGAATGCGACAATTCAGTCTAACTTAGTAATATTTAAAGCCACTTTAAAATTTCTTGGTTTCTTCATCACATATTGTGATGAAACACTTTTTAGATGGTGGTGATGCTCATCAAGAAACATGGATGGACTATTTTTTAACGTCAATTTAGTTCTGATCGTTTTTGATCAAGCTACAAAATGATTTGAGTAATTTTGTCAATTTCAAAGGTAAGAATCTTCAACTTTCTAGATGAAACTAACGGCCAAAACAACATGGAATGAGAGTGCCTAATTCTCATACCAATGGGGGTCTCATAATTTAAGCAAAGCTCAAGGGGCCTGTGGAATTTTATCATAAATTAAATATTAAATATTTTATGATAAGGATTGGGGAACAAAATTAATATTTATATATATAAGGTGGTAAACTGAAACAAATTATGACCGGCCATTGGCCAAATCTTCAATATCGAACAGAAATTTTCAATAAACTGAACTCAGGATTTTGCGAAGATATTCTAATAGAAATCCATAAACGTATATATTCACCAGCCCGTAATTTATAATACTAGAAAGTTTGAGCTGGCTCTTTATATGTAATCTTCACACTTTGAACCATTAATTTAACTTGTCAGAGACTGAACTTAATTATCTAAAAATAAAATATGAAATACAATGCGTGCATTCTTAGAATATGAACATTGAACAATATAATAGACGAGAAGGATGACTTAGTCATCATGAATGCCAGGCTTTACTTTATAATTTTCAAATAGTTCACGGCATGTCCTGCAGGGAAAGGTGTTTGGCATTGTAGGGCTGGATTGTGAGCTCAAATGGTCCTCGCTAAACAAAGGGAATAATGAAAGGCTAGGTGTGTTGAGTTATGAACAAGAACATCATAAAGGTAGTGGAGCACTGAAAAAAAGATTATATATATGTGGACATAATTTCGTTACCTCATGAAATCATGGGTTTATATAATGGACGTAATTACCCAATAAACCTATCTAGACTATAAAGTAATCTTAGGTACTCTAATCTAATTCTCAAACCAAAGTTCACCCTTATTATGAATAAGAGTAAACGACTTTTTCCCACCTAAGGTTTGTCTTAATGACACTTTCCCACCCAAAAAGTTTCAAAATATCACTTTCCCATACTTCACTTTCCTAGTTGATGTTTGGCGAGTTACCAGGAGGCAGGGTAAGAGGATTTTTGTAATGTAGAGGCCGATGGATCGAATGGTGGTGACCGATTAAATATTCACCCCGAAATCAGCCGAAAATCATCTGAGAACTAGAAACCTTAGTTTTGCAGTGGCCGACAATCGGCAAGAAATCAAATGCTGGAGTGAGAGGGGTTTTTGTAGAAAGGAGACCATAGATTAAAATGGTGGTGACGGAGAGAATTTTCACCGCTAGAATCAGCTTTGGGTAGTATCAGAATATTAACTTTGGTTAGCAAAATGGCATTTTGAAACTTACTGGGTGGAAAGTGTTATTAAGGCAAACCTTGGGTGGAAAAAGTCTTTTACTCTATTATGAATAATTGATTAACTATGGTAGGATATGCCAATTTGATTTGATTTGTTGGAGAATCTTGTGGATTGCTTTAGCAGGAAATTAATAGCTGACCAAATTTAAGTTTACTAAATATAGCGCTATAATTAGTAGTTAGTATTTAGAAACAAATAATTCTTGACCAGACGCATTAATACTAATTTACGGGCCATAAATCTGGTTCTAATCTTGTGTTCATTCTAGATCATTTTGTCTTATTTTTTCTAACAAGGATTAACCTTCTACCCAAACAGTAAATCTGGTTCTAATCTCACTTCTATTAGTTATGCGAAACAAACTCGGCAGATGTATAAATTTAAGTAGCACATGCCTGGTCTTATTATAGGACTAGAAATTTTTTGAATTTAAATTAAATTCAGTTCTCCAATGTTTATATCCTTTATTATCCATCCACCTATTCACTTGAAGCTGCAAATCTATCTTTTTGAAAGCAATATTCAGTGGGAATAATGAGCATCTTTCACCTACATGATTTTCACAGGTTTTATCATAACTAGCTCAAACAGTCCAACTAATGAGAACATATGAAGAAGCTATAATTCAATGGCAGACAAATTTGACATGAATTAAAGATGTCTGCCATTGAATTAAAGTGCAGCTTTACTCTTATGGCAGACAAAAAAGTTGAGTTGAAAGTGCAATTCCTATTAGGATTTCTTATTTGAATATTTGGACTTACAAAATTTCCACTCGAACCCTTTCTATTTGCCCCAATACGTAGATGTATCACAGCATTTTAAACTTATTTAATAAAATTAAACCTAGCTAATTACTTTTCTTTCCTATGCAGCTTTCTTAATTATATTCATATATGCATACATAACTTCCCAAGACTTGTCCTGAGATAGGAATGATGTTGTTGTATAGTTGTTCTTAGGCTTGTTTAGGTTTTTTTTTTTTTTTTTTTTTGATCATTTCCCAGTGCATGTAAAATGTCTGTCTTTATGCACATTTGCTTGCTCCTCTCCTCTTGTTTTATATACTTTGCATGCTTAAGATAAACAAACAAGAGGAGAATAGGTTTTTGATCTATAAGACTTGTGTTTTTTTTCGTATCCCAAGGTCTATCTTGAGGTAGGATGGTCGGTTTTTTTATGGTTTCTCTGTACTTTTTTTCTCTCTTTTAATGATATTATTTACTTGAAAAGAAAAAAAAATGTTCCTACGAGGCCATCCATAACTTAAATATCTTTAATTTCCACCTTTCATTTATTGCTAGAACAAAGAAAGACTATTTTTATTTTTTTAATATCTTCTATTTGTTAACACTTCTCTGTAAATTGTAATGATTGATCAATCCCATTGTCAGAAACCAAATTGGAAGAGACAAGAGATGCAATCAAGTTGCTAGAGAATGCCAGAGAAGAATATAGAATAGAAGAATAATACTTTTTGTATATATCATTATAGCTTTACAACCATGTATTTATACAATAATCTGTGAGTAAATAAAGGGAATGTAATCAAATGTAATTACCACACAATAAGAATGGAAGTCAATCAATTATAGAAAATCAGTCAATCAATTATAGAAAATCAGTAATTAGCCTTATTTATATTTAGGCATGTGTATGATATCTTTGCTTGGGAGCAAATATAGCATTCCATATCACATCACTCCCCCTCAAGCTGGTGATTTGTAGATGTCAAAAATTCCAAGCTTGTGAAGTAGGTATGAATGTTGACGACTGCATAGTGGTTTCATGAAGATGTCTGCTGGTTGTTCCGCAGTTCGAATTTGCATGGTTTCGATCATTCCTTCTTGTATCTTTTCTCTCACAAAGTGATAGTCAATCTCTATATGTTTTGTCCTTTCATGGAATATAGGATTTGCTACGATGTCATTGGCGGCTTTGTTGTCACAGTATAGGATGACTGGTTTCTCTGTCTAGACTTCTAGATCTCTGAGTAATCCAAGAATCCAGACAATTTCACATGTTTTTGCCATTTCTCTATACTTTGCTTCTGCTGAGGAAAGAGACACTGTTGATTGTTTCTTGGTTTTCTAGGAAATAAGCGACCCGCCAATTTTTATACAGAATCATGTGAGTGATCTTCTCGTTATTGGACATGTTCCCTAATCTGAATCACAATATGATGTGATGTCTAAATTCCCATCTCATGTTAGAAGAAGTCCTAAGCCAG